CATTATAACTGTCACTAGAAAATGTGGCTAGTGAAGAATGGGAGCTTGGCCAAATAGATAAAATGTTCTTCAGGATTTGGGCTGGCAATCCATTGAAGTTGCTGCGGTATGCAGACTGAAGACAGCAACGGCGGCCTGAGTAAGAGAACTCACAGGCCCGTAATCCAGGAGAGCGCACACCTGGAAGGTACACCTATGTTTGGTTGGAAACAGCTACAACTTCACTCGATATCAAACTGTCTCGCTTTCAGCAGAGTTGCTGATGAGAGGAAGACTCCATAGGTTAAACCTGATATTCCTGGACCTGGGGTTGGGGGGCGGGGGCGGGTGTGAAACGTCAACAGGAATACCAATACTGGCCATATGCCTCCTTTAAGTGAGAGAGACAGTTTTATTTCAGGGGACAAAGTTTGGTGTCCAAAGCACGGAAATGGCCCTGCATGGGTATAAAGTATGGTTGACACAAGGTCAGGTCCCATGATATACAAAGTTCGGGTAGGTGAGGCAATCCTGAACAATCGTGTGGATCACATGAAAGCTGCTACCTTGCAAACGGGGCAGGAGCTAAACATACCTAGCCCCTCAGAATGGCCAGAAAGTCTGTCAAAAACTGTGGGCTCTCCCCCTCCATCTAGTGTCAAAGAAACCTCAGAATCCAAGATGGATGTAGTCTCAATACTTTTACCACCTGAAAGAGAGGGGGAAACTCTCCCAAGACACTCTGGGACGCTCTGGGCGCAAGCAACAGGCTACGGTCTGGTACATGCCACCTGTATGTGAGTCGGAGTCGGAGGAACCGGACCTGGGGTGAAAACGCCCCAGGAGAAGCTAGAAGTAAAAGAACAGGCCTACATCTTTGGACCTAGTGGGGGGAGGGATGCAGTGATTGGAACTGGGATCAGGTGGATCTCATTGTGTATGAGATCGTTGATTGGGGTCGTTAACCTGGGCCAATCAGGGAGCCCTGGCTGACAGATCTAGGCAGAAGATTTAGAGAATCTCCTCATTCTGGAGACTGGCTCTGAGCTGCCTGGTTGGACCCCATGTACTGTACACATGTAAATAAAGGGCGACTTGGTGATGGGATACTGGCTTCTGTGCAGTTATTTCAGACTGTCCATTTTCCTGGATTTTTCCCATCATCTTTAACTCCCTTACTGATTTAAAATCTATCTCAGCCTTGAATATACTTAATGACTCAGTCCTGACAGCCCTTTGCAGTTAAAAGTTTTACAAACTCACTTGAGTCAGAGATGTGAAATTCTTCCTTGTCTCTGTCTTAAAATGGTTAACCCTCTTAGATTTTCTATGGTCCTACACTCTTCCACAAGGGAAAACAACCTTTCTGCATCTACAGTGCCAAGTCCCCTAAGAATCTTGTATGGTTGTTTTTCATTCTTCTAAAGTCCAGTGAGTACAGGCCCAACCTACTCAACGTCTCAAAGCAGTCATTCCATACCCAGGATTAGCCAAGTGAACCTTCTATGGATTGCCTCCAATGCCTGTGGATATTTGTTTAGATAAAGGCACAAAACTGTTCACACTATTCCAGCAATGGTCTCACAAGTACATGGTATAGTTTTAACAAGACGTAATTATTTTTATACTCCATTACCTCTGAAATAAAAAGGCTAACAATCCATTTGCCTTCTCTATTTCATGCTGAACTTGGATGCTATCGTTTTTGAGATTTATGCAGGATTCCCAAATACCTCTGTACTGTAGCTTCCTGTAGTCTTTCACCGTTTAAATAATATTCAGGTCTTCTGACCAAAGTGTACAACCTCATGTTTTCCCACATTATATTCTGTCAGATTTTTGTCCAATCATTTAACCTGTCTGTCCTTTTTAGGCTCTGTGTGTCATCCTCACCACTTCTACCTATTGTAAATCACATGGCCCCAGCACTAGTCCTGCAACACTCTAGTGTAATAGGTTGCCAGCTTGAAAAGCGCTCCGCCCCCGTACCCCACCACCTCAACTTCCTGTGTTCTATTAGTTCGACAATCCTTGATTAATGCTAATATATAATCTCTAACACAATGGGTTCTTATTTTATTAAGTAACCTAATGCTTGGTTGCTTATTGAATGGCTTCTGAAAATCCAAATACATTACATCCACTGATATAACACGGTGTAGAGCTGGATGAACACAGCAGGCCAAGCTGCATCAGAGGAGCATGAAAGCTGATGTTTCAGGTCGAGACCCTTCTTCAGAAATGGGGGAGGGGAAGGGGATTCTGAAATAAATAGGGAGAGAGGGGGAGGCGGATAGAAGATGGATAAAGGAGAAGATAGATGGAGCGGAGACAGACAGGTCAAAGAGGCGGGGTTGGAGCCAGTAAAGGTGAATGTAAGTGGGGAGTTAGGGAGGGGATAGGTCGGTCCAGGGAGGACGGACAGGTCAAGGAGGCAGGATGAGGTTAGTGGGTAGGAGATGGGGGTGTAGCTTGAGGTGAGAGGAATGGTTAGGGAGGCAGGGACGAGCTGGGCTGAATTTGGGATGCGGTCTGGGGAGGTGAGATTTTGAAGCTTGTGGAGTCCACATTGATACCCTTGGGCTGCAGGATTCCCAAGCGAAATATGAGATGCTGTTCCTGCAGCTTTTGGGTGGCATCATTGTGGCCATGCAGGAGGCCCAGGATGGATATGTCGTCCAAGGAGTGGGAGGGGGAGTTGAAATGGTTCGTGACTGGGAGGTGTAGTTGTTTGTCGCGAACTGAGCGTAGGTGTTCCACAAAGCAGTCCCCAAGCCTCAGCTTGGTTTCCCCAATGGAGAGGAGGCCACAACGGGAACAGCGGATACAGTATACCACATTAGCAGATGTGCAGGTGAACATCTGTTTTATGTGGAAGGTCTTCTTAGGGCCTGGGATGGGGGTGAGGGGGGAGGTGTAGGGGCAGGTGTAGCACTTGCTCCAGTTGCAGGGAAAAGTGCCGGGGGTGGTGGGGCTGGAGGGGAGTGTGGAGCGGACAAGGGAGTCACGGAGAGAGTGGTCCCTCCGGAAAGCAGATAAGGGTGGGGAGGGGAAAATGTCTTTGGTAGTGGGGTCAGATTGCAGATGGCGGAAGTGTCGGAGGATGATGCGTTGGACATTACATCCATGGTTTCCTCTTTATGCTCTAATAAATTTTGTTGATTTTAGAAGGTACATGATCCTATTAACCCGATGTAGGCATTTGACAATTTAATGCAATTTTCTGATCATTTATTGAGAAGCAGCAATTTTGATGTGTTACATGAGTTAATTAGGCAAAGAAAGGAAATATACATACTGTGGGAGATGAGAATATTTTACCAATCTCAAAACTGTTCTGTAGAATGGAGAAGTAGCCACTCCCACATCCCAGTGGCCATATTCCCTTTTCTGTTGGTCTCAGTTCCAAAAGTCTTTGTTCTTTCCTCGGACTAATGTAAGGGAAGTTTTGGTCTTCCTCAAGGAGGCGGTGTGTCTCATCCCTCTGGATCTTCTTTCCCCTACCTCCCCTTATTTTGAGGGCCGGTCATCAAGGCAATATCAATCACCTGTCTAACCCCTTTTGGCCAAATCTTCAGCTGCTTCATCAATGACTTTCATCCATCATAAAGTCAAAAGTGGGGATTTTTGCTGAAGATTGCATAATGCTCAGCACCATTCGCGATGCCTTGAATACTGAAGCAGTCCATGTCCAAATGCCAGAAGACTTGGACAATATGACAAGTGGAAAGTAACATTAATACCACACAAATGCCAGGCAATAAACAGTTCTAAAAAGAAACAATGTAACTAATACTGCTTAACATTCCATGGTGTTATCATCAAATCCCCTACTGTCAATAGCTTTGATTCTTTGACTTCACTAGTTAGTTTAAAATGCCAAAATTGGGAGAGCTGATGCACTAGTGAGACAAGCAACAGCTTGACATAGTTATTCTCACTGAATCATATCTTATACACAATGCCCAGTCAGCACCATCACATTTAGAATAGATCTATCAAGGATGTTGGCACACTGATATAGAGTCAGGACAGAATTGCCTTGGGAATCCTCAACATTGACTCTGGATCCCATGAAATCTCATTGGATCAGGTCAAACAATTCTCACAATTTAATCAATACACTTCTTTTTATTCTTTCTGCCAAAATGGACTGCATCTGATTTCCCCACTGTACTAGATATTATATTATTGTATTATGTACTACTATATTATACTCTATTTGCATACTCAGCCTATGGGTACCTTTCTGTAATCACATTGTGTGCTCTTCACAACTTACTTTCCTTCCTAGCTTTATGACATCAGCAAATTTGGCAAACATACCTTCCATTCTTCACTGATAAACAGTTGAGATCCAAGCACCAAACCCTGTAGCACAACACTCATTACATCTTGCTGACCTGAAAAAGATCCACTTATACCTTCTCTCTATTTCCTGTTCGCCAGGTGATATTCCATTCATGCCAATATGCCACTCCTGTACACCATGAGCTTTTGCTTTCCTCAATAACCTACGATGTGGCACCTTATCAAAAGCCTTCTGGAAAGCTAAATATAGTAAATTCAGCAGTTCTCCCTTATCTATAATATGTTACCTCCTCAAAATCTTGAGTAAGAAACTTAAGTAAGTTATAAAAATTAGGAGGCCACATTGGATTTCATATTATCAATCAAACACAAAAAGTGCAAGTAGGTTCTGAACACCAGGACCTAAAACCATATTTTAACATGATTGTAGAATTAGAGCTTAACTGTGCTTCTCCACAAAAAAGGTTGCAAATTAAAGACACGAACCTCAGCATAAAGTGTTTGTATTAGAAAATACTGAATGCTGGCTGTGTAGATTTCAGAAATTATAATGAATGGAAAGTTATGCATTTGAACCTTCACCGTCAAATTCCCAGTATGCACTCCCGTTGCATGAAGCCCCAGCACCACAATTGATCACCTGTAAAGTTTATCTCAAAATTAACCATAGTATATCAGCATGGTTTTCTTCAAAGGAATTATGTACTCACAATATTGTACAGTTGAAATTTCTTTTGTCCATGCCTTATGATGTAACACTTCAAACTTCACCAGTACATAAGCGATTTTGTTGTACATATGCACGATGGAGATGCCTTGTGGACTTCTAAGAATGTCAGAATTTTTCTGAAACAAAAATGAGTACTTAGAAGATTATAGCTGACAGCATTCTTCCACTTTTTATCCATGAAGTAATATTCCAATCGCGAGCTTACTGTACCGCAAATATGTCATTAAAATAGCTAAAAGTAACATTCTGAAACCAACATATAGTGAGTAATGAAAACATTCTTAAACATTGTCTAAAATATTTTCTACAATGATAAGACCATTTACAGATTAAAACCAGACTGAGTTATCACTTTGTAAAATAATGCAATCAGTAACAAGCATAACCCCTAGTTCCCAGTTACTTAACATATCAGTTTCAGTGAAACTCAGCGAACGTTTGAGAACAACACTTTTCACCTTTCCAGGCTCAATATTGATTTGAACAATTTCAGAACATAATCACTGCTTCCGTGTTTTCAGACACTAAATGCCATAATAGATATTGTTATTTATGACTCGTCTGGACTATTTTTTGTGTTTTTCCTTGTCTCATTACAAGCCCCTTTTGCACTGCACTAAGATCCATTTTAGTATTTAATGACTGCTGGCTTCCATATAGAACAGACATTCCCTTTCCAGTCTGTTGAGCTTTTATTTTTGTTGGGTGTAAATTTAAAAAAAAAAATTCTCTATCCATGGGTTGGTTGGTGTTACTGGCAAGGCTAAAAAGTGTTGCCAATTGTTAATTATCCCAAAAAGGTGGAAGACCACCTCTTCCACAGTGCTGTTGAATGAGGAGTAAACAATAATGGCCATTATAGGATGGCAAGTGATTTGGAGAGGACCTTGGTTGTGCTGGTGTTCCATTGAGGCTGCTACTCTTGTTCAGCAAGTCATAGAGGCTGGGGTTTGGAATAAGCTGTTGAAGAAATCTTGTCGGGTTCTGAAATGTCATGCTACTTGACCCCACCACACTGGTGTGTACCCGTAAAATTTTCCTTACTGTCCTGTTTTGGCACTATCACCTTGATAAATTGGTATGATCTCTCTACCTTAAATAGTTTGTACAGTTTTGGATTACTCATTGCTTTGGTTAGATATTCACCATGTGATTTTTATACCTATCATGTTATTCCAGTCATTTGGTTTGTCTCCAGCACCACGTTATTTTTAAATTTTTTTGTAATTATCTCTCTGCCTCATTTAATCAGATTATAGGTCATCCCTTCATTTGTTATTCAGCTGTTAACACTTTACTCACACCATCTGACACTTTTGATCACCTGCAGAGACTTATTATTCGACACCACTCACACCATTTGTATGATCATTTGATCTCTCTACTCTTGATCTCTCTGCCTATAAATTCTGTATCTGGGTGCTCCTCTCTCACTTCACCTGATAAAGGGGCTACACTCTGAAAGCTTGTGATTTCAAATAAACCTGGTGGACTATAACCTGGTGTCATGTGACTTCTGAGATAGTATTTATATGGCTAACCCAACTGCAATTAACCAATTGACTGTTTGACCCTATTCCACCATTTAGTATTAACATGTCTAGTCTACCTTAATTCCACCTGTCCGCTATGCCTCTATATCTGTTAGTTCCCTTATTGACCAAAAATAGTATGATTTATGTCAATAATTCTGCATTGACAGATCTTAACTCCAAAGAATCACAATATGCTTTGTGAAAAAATTCCCCTTCATCTCTGTCAAAATGACCAACTTCTCATTATGACCATGAGACCTTGTGCTCCCAACTTCCCAGCCAGAGGCAACATCCTTCGACCATTCATCCTGTCAAGATTTTTAAGAATATAATTTATTTCAATTAGATTATCTTATATTCTTATGAATTTTATGGAATATAGGTATAATCCACATGAACTCTACTCATAATAAACACCTCTCACTGCAGGAATCAACCTAGAGAACATTTCTTGTACTCTCTCTAACAGAAGTACATCCTTCCTTACATAAGGAGACTAAGCTGTACAGAGTAATCTCAGTGCAAATGCATAAAGGCTCGATAACACTAAACTATCATTTGTTACTTTATTACTTAGAATCATAGAATAAAATCATAGAATTTTACAGTATAGGAGGAGGCCACTTGACCCATTGTACCTGAAGTGGTCCCAAATGAGCTATCCAGCTAGTCCCATTCTCCAGCCTTATCTCCGTAGCCCTCTAAATTAATTACTTTCAAATATACGTCCAGTTCTCTTTTGAAAACTCCCATGGAATCCACCTCCACCACTCTTCTGGCAGACTATTTATAACTACGTCAACCATATCACTGGTATTTCTAAATATATGCTGATTTTCAGTGATTTACATATAAGACCCAGCTTACGCCAAATACCAACATTTTGCAAAAACCAAAAGAACTGCGGATGTTGTAAATCAGAAACAAAATCAGAAATTGCTGGGTAACCTCAGCACATTTGGCAACATCTGTGGAGAGAAATTACAGTTAATGTTTTGGGTCCAATGACTCTTCCTCAGAACCAACAAACGGTAGTGGCAATGTAGGGTGCAGTATGAACTAGGATATTACAGGTGCATCTAGAAAGTGATCATGGATGGAAGACAACAGAAGAACGTGGGGACAGCAGCTTCATAAACAGTGGCAGAGAGATTGGGAAGCAGCTTCTAAAACATTGCAAGAGAGTTGGGAAAGCAGTTACAGAAATGACATAAGAAAGTGAGGACAACAGCTTCAATAAGAACAGGACAGAGCATGAGATCAGCAGCTTCATAAAAAGCAGGAGAGGGAGCGGACAACAACTTCTGAAACAATATGACAGAGAGTCGGGAGAATAAGGTCTTACCTTCAAGCACAGAAGCAAACAGAACAGAGCCTCCAGAATGTAATTCAGCAGCAGGGAAATTTAGCAACAGTGACATCACAGAAAAGTCCTGAGGTGATTGGCTGTTGTGCAGCTGCAATTAGGGATTGTGTTTCAACTACATTAATTTAAAAAAATGGAAATTTCTCAGTTAGCACAAGAAACTTAAAAATTCACAGACACTGCAGAAGGAGCTGATTTGTGGCAAGCAGGAGGAATTTCTACTTTCTACTGATGTTCAATTTAGAGTAAACAGTACGATACTAAAAATAAACTACGTGAAGTTAAAATAAGTTGAAAGTAACCTAATGGTATGACAGATGAATTCTGCCAAGCCATCCTGTGGCATGTGGGAGATCATGGACACTTCTAAGGGGCACTCAAGGAAGGACAGGCTGGAGAGGAAAAAAAGGCAGCCAACGTAAAAGCACAATAACCGACACAACTTCCACCTGAACAGGTGCTGCAAGAATTTTCAATCCCTCTCTGGATGCAGGACAGGTGCCAGAGGACTGACAAACAGCCAATGTGGTATCATTGTTCAAGAAGGGAGGAAAAAATAAGCCAGGAAACCACAGGCCAATTTGCCTAATCTTAAGGATGGGGAAACTATTCGAAGCAATTCTGAGGGATAGAATTAATGTGCACTTGAAGAGGAAGGGACCAATCAAGGACAATCACCATGAGTTTTTTTAAGGGGAGGTCATGCCTGACCAACTTGATTAAATTTTTTTAAGAATACTGTATGTAGATGAGGGCAATGCATTTGACTTACCCTGCATGGACTTTAGCAAGGCTTTTGATAAGGTTCCATATGGAAAATTGATAGCAAAGGCAAGAGCCCATGGGATGCAAGGAAATTTGGCTAACTTGATCCAGAATTCTTTGAGTATCACGAAGCTGAGGGTGATTGTACAGTAATTTGTTTTGTGATTAGAAGTCTGCATCTCGTGGTGTTCCGTAGGGATCAGTGTTGGGGCCTTTGCTGTTTGTAGTATAGAAATGATTTAGACTTGAATGTTAGAGGGTTGATCAGTAAATTTGTGGATGACATGAAAATTGGTGGGTCACACAGTCATAGATATGTATAGTGCAGAAAAAAGGCCCTTTGGCCTGTCAGATCAAAAACTTAACTGTTCTAACCCCATTTTTCAACACCTGGTCCAGAGCCCTGTATACTTGGCATCACTAATGCAAATCTAAATACTTCTTAAATGTTATGAGGGTTTCCGAATCTACCATTCTTGCAGGCAGTAAGTTTCAGATTCCCATTAGGGTGAAAAGGTTTTTCCTCGCCATGTCCTCTAAATCTTCTGCCACTCACCTTAGAACACTATGATTCCAGATCTAGAACAATGTGGTTGAATATTAAGTGCTGCCTAGCCAGTGATGCCCTCATCCCATGAATGAATAAAGGAAAAACAATTTTAACAACAGCTAGAAATTCTCAAAAAAGAAATTAAAACAGACGAACCACTTGTCATCAACGTAGGCACCAGAAACATCATTGGGAAACATAGCCCTGCTCACCTTACTAACATTTGGGGACCAGTACCAAAACTGGGAGAGCTGCCTCATTTACTGGTCAAGCAACAGACTGACATAGTAATAGTCAGTGAATCATACCCTAGAGACAATGTTCCAGACATCTCCATCATAGTCACAGAGGTCCACAATGCAGAAAAAAGCCCTTCTGCCCATTGAATCTGTGCCAGTCAAAAACAACCATTTAAATATTCTAATGCCATTTTCCTGCCCTTCGCGATAGCCTTGCATGGAAAGTGTACATCTAATACTTCTTAAATGTTCTGAGGGTTTCTGTCTCTCTCACCCTTACAGCTAATGAATCCAGATCCCCACCACTGTCTGTGTGAAAACATGTTTCCTCATATTCACTCTAAATTTTCTGCCCCTAGCAGCGGTAGGATTCAAACCCAGGTTGCTGGGAAATTATTTGGATCTCTGGATTAATAGTCCAGCAATAACACCACTAGGCCATCACAATCCCGACAAAGATTTTGAGTGGTTGACTGCCAATAGTCTCAGAGCAACGGGCAAATGGTTTGGTGTCTCCAGAGGTTCTGTTCACTAACTGTTTTTTCATCCTGGATAGTGATGAGGGTAGTTTTCATCAGACAAATATTGGAAGTGCTAAGTCTGTGGAACCAACTGTGGTAAAGCACAAAGGACGACATAAGAAGATAAGAACTAGGAGCAG